AATCCCTGACTCTGTGGACTTCTGAGTAATTTTCTCTAATCATGAGTATCCTGTCTTTGTTGCTACATATTTTAATGGTTTTATTTCTGCTTTTCTATACTAACTTAAAGAACTCTCATCCTTTCCATAAATTTAAATCACTGATCCACGTTGCTGGTTTGGACAACTTTTTTTTTTTTAGATTTTTGCCACAGGGCATGTGTGCTCACCAAAGAGAAACAGAGAGAGACACAGAAAAGGAAAGTGAGAAATCTCCCCATAGATGGGATGGTCACTCCTTGAAAATCCTTTCTCCTCCATTCTTCTCTAAGGATTTTGGGTATGCACACACTTGTGTCCACCCTGATATTTTAGCCACTACCTCCAGGATTTGAACTGCAATTGGTCATGTAGGAGACCAGTGCCAACCCACTCTGCCACCAGTGGGTCCCTGGACAACTTTCTTAATAACATGATGAGTTTTGTATTTGTGTAGGGGGGGTGAAACTGCACTTCCCATCTCTCAGTTGTCTCCTTATTTATCCTGTAATTAAGTAGAAAGAGGGACAGAGAAAGCTAGAAGGCAACCCCTAAGGGAGATGGCCACACTGCAATGCCTTATCTTTTATTCTCCTCTGGGATTTTGGGCACATGTGTATATATGTGCAGTGTGATTTTCAAGCTGCCTGACCTGGAACTTGTACCACACAGTTGGCCATGTGTGATCGAGTCACCTTAACCCCACCTGCTAGACCTCAATCTGTATTTTGATGAGTTATCTTAGTCTTATGGCAGAAGCTACATTTGGCGACTCTAGAGATATTAATACAATTTAACTGTCCAAAAAGTCTGAGACACAGTGTTTTCCTTTTGAATTGGTCTTTCCCATCTACATTACTACCTTAACTGCTCTTCCTGATAATGTAAACATCAACATACTGGTGTGTTTTATAGATGGTTGTGAAAATTTACAGTTCCAAAGGTAGCTTTCCTTCAACTTAGTATCCACAGTGCCTACAATATCCCTTGCTACAGAGCAGGAAAACAAAACTAGCTTATCAAATACATATTCTGCATGTAGTCTGCATATAATGACATATATGTATTAATCAATTTACTTAATAATGTTTCATAATCACAGATAACTTCAAATATGACAGAGTAGCATTTTTAGTGAAATACTGTGTTTCTCCAGGGGCTTTGTTCACTACTAGATACCTCTACACATTGAAGTGTTGGGCTCTCAATGTCCAGTTGTAAGTTTATTTATTGAAATAAAATATTTGGCGTCATAATCTGTGTTATTTTATTGAATTGTCTTGCAATTTTTGCTTTACAGTTTTCAGAACTGGCTACAAATATAACTATTTCCATTTCTTTTTTAATTTTTTATTATTTTTATTTTTATTATCATCATAATCTTCTTTATATTACATTGGATTACATATAACTTTACAGTGTATTACATTGCTTTTTCAAAAGGGAATGCCATGCATGTCAGTCAATACAGAGACATTAAT